TTAATTTGTTTCATGTGGTGCTTTTGAGTACATTTCATAGAGGGCTGTTATTGAATTTCTGTGACTGTCATTATATATCCATACAACCTTTAGGAACTAATATTCTGGGTTTCCCAGTTCTGTAATCTACTTCAAATTTAAGGATTGACATAATTAGTTTCTTCAAAGTTATAACCAGAATGTTAAGAGACAACACTGCACATACCCAAGACTAAGAGTGAGGATTGGAAAAAGAAAGCAATTTAAAAAATTATCACAGCCCATGCTTTTATTCTTTATTAAATTAAATTTACAACTCAAAATCTTACTGTTATTTGTATGCTTATTCCTTGTCTGGTTTTCTTATCTTGTCTGGCTTCCCTTTTAAAAAGCCAGATATAAGATCACTTAAGCTACCTGCATGTGCACAGGCAATATTTGTCATTTGGTTAGTTGAGGAGTTAGAGAATGTATGGATTGTCGAAGCGTTGTGTACATACCTAAATGCTCTTTTCTGAAGTTGAAAAGAACCTTCATAGTAAAATAAACAGAGATGAGAAAACAAACATATCAAAACAGTTTTTTAGGAGCATGTCTTCTCAAATCCATAATAGTGATAATTCCTTACATTTCTAACAACCTCCTGTATTTCAAGAGCTAGAGAGATGGATGAGTGGTTAAAATAGGTAATTTTTCTGGCTTGTAAGATAACAACTATGTGGAAATAGGGAAAAAAATCCGTTTTGTAGCATGAAATTTTGAAGCTTTATGCCTTTAATGAATGCCATTTCTGACCATGATGAGAGTGTGTTAATTGAATATAAAGATTTCAACACTGATATAAATTTAAGGTTTTGTTTGCTTTAACTTTATCTGTGCAGTGTGAAAATCTTCAAGATAAACACCTTCTTACTTTCCTGTTGTTTTTTCTGTAACGAGCCTTTTCTTGAACAGATATTAGCTGACAGTTTTTAGCACCTACTATGAGAAAAGGTCCATAAGAAGGAGTAGAAAGAGAAGCAGCATTTGATGAGTAACTACTAAATACCAAGCTCTGTATTAGGGATCATCTTTAATCTTCCCAAAAGCCATAAAGTAGGTTTTATTATTGTTATTATTATTATTATTATTATTATTATTATTATTCCCGTTTTACAGATAGAAAATCAAGATCCAGAGACTTTAAGTTACACCTAGTTAGTGGCAAATCCAGAATTCAAATCCAGATATGTTTGGGACCAAAGCCCATATTTTTTCTACATTGCTAAGTTTGCCAAGGCAGTATCCTAATTACTTCTGGAGATGGTAGAAGAAAGAAGTATCTTCCCTGCCCTCAGGCAGCACGTGCTTGAAATAGTGGAGGAAACACATATGCACACGGAAAATTAATACTACACCAAGATCATATTCTATTGTGTCATCTGAGAAGTGCCACTGACAGGCTGGCAATGGTGGTTGCTCACAGTATCACCGGAGGAGAGCTCTTCTCACTGCAGGGAGAGCTTCTTCCAGAAACATTATTTAAGCATTAACACCACGCTTTTTTAAATAACGATATTTAACCAGGGTTACTTCTGGTGAGTGGAATTTGGGGTATATTATTTTTAAAGAGAAAAAGTTCTGTGCAAAAGCCATGCCTCTTATGGGTTGTTTTGATTTTGTTAAAAAAAAAAAATTGTGAATGAAATGGAGTCCGCCAATATGTGCACTTTATCATTATGCTCTTTTTATTCATTTAACAAACGTTTGTCAAACATTAAGCATGGGAGATAAAAGAACATCATTTCTGTCCTCAGGGAGCTTATCGTCTAATAGAGAAATACAGGCATATTAAAAAAGAAGGAGCAGAAGGAAGGCACAGGTGGCCAGGCAAAAACAAGGTTATAATGTGTGCATGTCTGGGTATGTGAAACCAGCATAACCAAAAGCATAGCCATTTTCAACTTCATTGTAACCCTCAGAGAAGGATGGACAACACACATGGGCTTCATCTCTTGTTTCTTAGATTTCTGCTTATTTTTCATTATGATCTAATTACCTTAATTGATCCTGAAATTTTAAAAAGTTGGGAATCTGTGAACTTCAAGGGAGGACTTTTTCCCTTCCTGCACTCCTATGCCAGCTTCAGTATCCTTCCTTAAAATGAGTATTGTGATGTAGGTTCTTCTTGCTGTGAATGAAAATTTTTTTGGCGAAGTGATAGAAGTTTTAGAAAATGTTGAAAATCCCTAAATATTGTGTTAGAATGTTTTCTGTAGAAAGCCTTCATTGATTTGTGCTTTGTCATAAACATTCTCAAAGATGTTTCCTCACTGGACAGACTGTTTCCCACTCCCAAATTGTATATGTCTGTGGTATAATTGAATTCAAATGTTTAAAGACATTTTCATATTATCTGCATGCTCTCTGAATGGTAAGGTGCCTTGGAAAATGTGAGACAGTCTTTTAAAAGAAATGCAGTAATCATACATTGATTTTAAATGACCCTGTCACACGTGAAAACAAATCAGATTGTTGCTCTTAATGAGCTTTTCAATTTACTATTCAGTAGATCAGATAAGTGGATTTAAGAGGTAATGATCCTGTTTAGTACTCAAGCTTGACTGTCAGATCCTAGGAGTGGAGAGAAATCCCTAGGGACAGAAGCGTTGACACAGTTCTAGATGGGATAATGGGAATCAAAGCTAATGGATGATAAAAGGAATGGTGCAAGTTACAAGGATAATTGTGGATTAAAGCACTGCCATGTGTCAATGTTGACTGTTTTTTCTAGTATCTTATTGGGTCAAATCTGATACTCGGAGAAGCTGTTTTGACAGCAGAACACAACAGACCTGCCTGCCCAGCTTCCCCCTTCCTTGAATGCCAGGGACACCACAGAAACTTCCCTGTAAGAAGGACCAATTGGAAAAAAAAAAAAAAAAGATTTTTAAACAGTCTTAAAGGTTTAAAATCACATTTTAGTTATTATGTTTTTATTATTCAATGTTGCATGGATAAAATCAAAATTAGATTAATTTTCAGCTATGCCATAAAAAACATAGCACTTATAAAGTCTTGAAAATGTAAAACCTTGATTTTACAAAAATACAATACAATGTAGTGGGGAAAATGGACACCCGAACAATTACAGGCGTGAAAAACACCATGAGAGAGGAATGGACCAGACACTGTGGGAGCATAAAGGAGAGTGATCTCCCTGGGACAGCAGAGAAGAATGCAGAGGAGATGACTTTTGAATGGGAATCAAGGGGAGAGGAAAAAGAAAGCTAATTCAGGCAGAATGAGCAGTACACGAACTCCTAGAAATCTGAAATTGCGTGAGAAGCCTCGGTGATCCATCAGTATTTCATTGTGGCTTCAGATGGAGGGAAATAGTAGAAGATGAGGTATGTTGGGGCCAAGTTGTGAAGGGCCTTGTGTGCCATTAATCATGTCAATACAGGTTTTCTAAGGGACCCAATTTACTTCCATCCATAAGAGAGGGTTAGGATCATGCTGAGATAAGGGAAACTTCCCTTTCTACATACCATTCTTCCTTTGAGCCTTCTCTGTGCGTAAACATTTCTGATCTTTGAGGACTGGTGGTGACTAACTTCCCTGGGAGTTTTTCTCCCTAGCTCCCTCTTCCCCCTAAACATCTTACAAACACAGTGATAGCTTCAATCCTATAAGAGATGAAGGCCTCCTCTCATGAGCAAAATCATAGATACAGTAATTGAAATGCTTTTCTGTAGGGCTCAGAAATTAGCAGAAGGGGCTACAGGAATGTGAATCTCAGTTTTCCTTTTTCTCTCCCCCACCTTTTCCCCTCTACCCTTCTTTCCTTCTCTTGCCCTCTCCACTTGCCCCCCACCTTTTCCTCTCTCTCCCACTGGCCTGAGCAGCTTCTGGTTATAGGGCTTAGGATGAAAGCCCAGAACACAAGCTTCTGCTTTGAATGGTGTTTAAAATCCAGATACGAGATCTCTGCAGTGAACAGCCTTCCTCCCTTGTATAACCCTGTAATTCACCTTCATGACCTGTGGTAGTGTATGAAGCTGGTGTTCACATGTGAAAAGCAAAAGGCATAGGGAGTGAAAGCTAAGTTGCCATGCCATACCATAAGAAATAGGCGGAGCGGGAGAAAGTGAGAGAACACAATCACAGGGGATCAAATCACAGAAGAGAAATCCCATACAGCTGGTGTCTGGCAGGGATAACCTGGAATCACACCAGAGCATCAGGGAGTATGGAGGTGTCAACCCACCTCTCAGCTTTGCCAGGCTATTAGGGAATATTCCATTGGCTGCTGGTGGCATTTTCCCACTTGAAGTGGGATATGTTTATAAGCTCAATGTGGCTTAGGTTGGGACTGAAATGTTGCACCCCAAACTCTGCCACCAACACTCCCTAATTGGGAGCTTAATGGATTCCCCAGGCCCTGATGTATTCAACAGAGAATCTCTGAGCCTGGGATTTCCGTTTCAGCATGGAAAGTAAGACCTATCTCTGTATTGGGGGGAGCTTAATTGAAAGATTTTTGAGGAGAATGTTTATAAATTCTTTAACTTCCTCTTATTTTTGAAATCCTTATTTTTATAACTGCCTGACATAATCCTGAATTGTTTGATGGTTTGCTGATACCTGGCATAGATGGAAATTTTTTAAATGTTTTGTTTATTGAGACACTCCACTTCTCAGCCCTTTGTATACATAACGCCCATCTTTGAGAAAGGGTTGGTTTACCAGTTTGAGAAAGAAAATTATGTGGTGTGCTGGGAATAAAATGAGTCTGTGAGTGTGGGTGTGTGTGGGTGGGTATGTATTTCAAAATGAGAGAGGTACTTCCTGGAAGAAAAAGAGAGTAAATTTTTAAAGTATAATTTTTTTCTCTAAATCCTTCATTTGCTCTCCCTACCGACACCCTACTTCACTGTGGATGCAGCAATGCTTTAAATCTTCCATTTGTTCAGTTTGAATAGTCTTTTGAAAATCTATGTTAATGATAAAGCTTTTAACAATGAAATGTTTTCATCCAGGTATATGCCCGTATGTCAGAAGTTTTAGGAATAACAGATGACAACCATGTTCTAGAAACATTCATGACGAAAATGTGAGTTCTTGGATTTTTCTTTTGTTGTGGTTGCTTTGAATGTAATGGATACTTTTGCTGTGTTTAAATCTCTTAATAAGTATTAATCTTTAATAAAAGACTTAAAAATTATGTGTTAATTCTTAGAATGGTAGCATTGTTCTTAATTGAAACTTAATTTCACATATTTAAAATTCACCACCCTAAAGACATTCTTATTTGTCAAGGAATCCATACCACTGCAGTATGCCCCATCAAAACGTGGTTTTAAGATGTTTATAGACTTTGACTCTTCAAGACAATTGGGCAGCATTTTTGCTTTTAATTAGAAAGAAAATACCCAATTTCAAAGAGCATCTGAAGAGATTATTGCAAACTGGAATCATTGGGAGGGGTTTGATTGCCTTAAGACAGGGCATTCATTGATTCCAGCAGGAACTTAATGGCTCTCAAAAACCTACTCATGGAAAATTCCCTTAAATCATCCTTATAATTTGTTAGCAGAATTAACGAGTTTCTAGTCATAGACAGAATTTTGTACGTTTGGTCTCAACTTGTATGCCTCCAGTTGGCAACCCACTACATCTGTGTAACAGATAGATAGCACTGTGTTGCTTGCAGAGAACAAAGCTACACAAACAATCATGATCATAAGAAGTGAGCTTTGGAGCCACAAGTTTGATGGTTCATTTCTTGGCAGTAACTGTGAGCCTCTATTTGACTTCCTTTGTAACTCCTGCTGTCATTCCCTAATATGCTTGTTTTACATACAAACTTGATACTTCTTCTGTGAAACACTTAGACAGTTTTTTCAATGTACAAAACTAACTGTATGGAATTATGTACCATTTGGGGAGCAGTGTTCATTGTATATTGATAGGATATAATTTTGATTATGCCATTAAAAAAAGTAGAATAGAAAATGTTCTAGTGGTATTTAAACCTGTTTTTCAACTTCGTGAGGTATTTCGGGTTTAGGTCATGTAACTTAACATACATATATGTGTATTTTCATGTTCTCCCTGTACAACCAAATACCTTACTTACAACTAAAAACTTTGTTTTCATATTTAGCGTTACAAATCTTAAATACTGGGGAAGATGTGAGCCTGTGATTTCAAGGACTCTTCAGTTCCTAAATGATCTTTCTGTTGGATATCCTTTTTACTGTATATCTAGTAATGTATAGAAACACCCCAACAGGTACATTCTATTGGCCAGGTGTTTTCCTTGCTTATAATGTTGCAGGTTTGTTTTGTTTTTTTTTTTAATAAAAAACCTTTCATTTAGCCTTATATTTAAATGTGTGTTTTTGACAGATTTATATTAGCTACCTACTATCAAGTATTTATTCAGTCACAATTGAATTTATATGGATATATAGATTCCTAACTAGTTAAAGTTATGTTTATACCCATCCAGGTTAATAAGTGGATACATAAGAAAGTATACAACCGCATGTGTCTTAGTCTGTGATTTTTCATAATTTTCAGGGAGTTCTTATTTTAAAAGAAAGCATGTAACTAATTTTAAGAAGGTCGAAATGTTCTAAAAATATTACCTTATAAAAATTGAATTCCTGAGAGTAAATACCATAGCTTCAGTATTCTTCAATTGAAAAGAATATTATTTTGATTAGTTAAGAGGCACAAAGGAGGAATAGGAAGAAAATTATATAAGTGTTTTTACCACTTCTTGGATTATTGCCGCCAACAAATCAACATCTTATTTACTCCAAAATAAGATTTCCCATTATGCATTAAATGTTTGGGTTTCTATCTTTAGCAGATTTCTTAAATCTAACTAGAATCATCCTTTCTCATTAGATTATAGTTGATACTATTGTCCTGTTTCTACCAATGAGAGAGAAGCGTGTAGATTGTCTTTTGTATGTTAGCTATCAAACATACAGGACTTGTGAAAAATAAGTGTTGGTTTAGTTAACCACCAAGATTAGCTGAAATTTAAATATGAAGACAGCATTCTGAAAATCAGTGGCATTGGGTAGAAATCTTTAATGTAGGCTCACTGCAGGAATATGTTTGTATTAGTTAAGTTTAAAATTGTGTTCCTTGGGAAACCATAAAAGATTTCCAAAGTATTAGACACCCACTTTTGTGCTGGAATTTAATATGCAACTTTTTATTGGAAAATAATCGTCCTTGTCTGGCAAAATCCACCATGCAATATTTCTGTTAGTAGGTATAATGCAATAAAGACAGGGAGGGCTATTTATCACTACAAATTTTGAGGATTTCAGGATTCTTTTTATTATTTTAATATATTTCTTTGATATTAAATCAGAAAAATGATAAATTACACCTGTCCAGGCTGTTTTTCCTTTTTACTGGAAAGTGATGTACAACCCAATTCCAGTGGTCATTTTGGCTTTTTAAGATATGTATTTTTTCTTATTAAAAAAAAAAAAACTCAACCTGTATTTTTTTTTTTAATAATAATGCTGAAATACTCTTTATTTCTAACATATGAAGTGGTTTATAAGTACTTCCTAGTCTTGCAAACTCTGGCCTTTTCACAATGAATTACTTTGAGAGCACGTTATCTGAAAAGAAGCCTGTGTTATTTTACAGCACGTATCTATTGTTTAGATTTACCCTGTTTTTTAGGTTGGAATTGAAATCTAATATAAAATTAATTTGATTTGTATTCTTTTTGGTATAATATGCATAATGCCTAATTTATTTCTATCCAATATTTAAGTAAGATGCTTTTCCTATCACCTTATATCTCTTATATATTCTTTAATTCTAAGATTATAACCTTTTGTTTCATAAGATGTTTATTGCTTTTGAACACTTCTCGAAGTTAATAAAAAATCATATTTTCAGAAAACTTATTAGATAAAACTTAAAAGCTATAACATTTAAACCAAGGGATGCAAATGATTTCAACTTGGGTACATTGATTTATATTTTTTAACAATTATTTCAGGTTTCCATATTTAGAAATATATATTAGTTCAATTTGATTTCAGTGCTCAGTTATTTGAATTATAAATCATTATGTCCCTTCTAGCTGATCAGTCATGAAATATCTTTGAATTCATTTACATAATGGAATATGTGAGTGCTATATCTATTTCAGTGCAGTTGCTGGTTACCTAATGCATGTTTTGTTGTTTCCAATCGGTTTCTTTATTATAATATGTTTTTAAGTCCTGATTTTAAAGCAGTACATTATATTTGTGTTAAAAATCAGCTGGCACTCTTCAGCACTAGAAACACTTATGCAAGATAAAAATCATCACCAACTGGCCTCTATTAATGGAAACCTATTTATATATTAATATTCAAAATATCTGTGTTTAAAATACTAGTACGGAATAACGGAAAAGCATCTTACTATGAAGTTTTTAAATGTTCCTGATTACTTTCTAATGCATGTCTTTAGATATTTTTTGTTTTGTTTTTTCTGTTTTTATCATCTTCAGAGTGAATGCTACTCAGTGTTTGTTTATGGTTCACAAGGCCAGTCTATGAACTTTAGTATTCTTGTATCTGACTGCTTGCTTGGAAATTTAAATCACAAAAGATCCTCATTTTTAGGAAGTGTAAACAGGCTCATGTTTACTTGCCTCAAGGCAGTAGTCTCAAACTTTAGGGATAATCAGAATCGCTAGAGTTCTTGTTAGAATACAAATTGCCGGACCCCACCCCTAGAGTGTATGTTTTAGGAGGTGTTAGACAGGCCTGAGAATTTGCATTTTCAGCAAGTTTCCAGTGATGCTGGTGGCTTAGGAACCATGCTATGAGAACTTGTGCTTTAAGATAATTGGAAACTTGAACTGCATGTCCCAAATAAGAAAGTCAGGTATTTCTCTACAGGACTCTGTCTTCACTAGGGAAAGTCAGACTTGACATTTTTAGAGATAGGCTAGTTCCTTAAATAATAATGTATATGAGGAGACAATTTCATTAAGTCCCCGGATTTTAACTGGAGAGTCTGTTGCATTTTACCCCAAAGTTTCTGTTTGCCAAATTTGAAGCTTTCCAAATTAGTAAGACTACTGTAATTTTAAAATCAGTGGCCCTTTTGAGGGAAAATTTGTGTTTTCCTATCCGATTCGTTACATGAGGCATATATATTACACTCAGCAAATATATCTGAGTAACTTTTTAATATATTCTTTAACTTTCCAAGACTAAATTTCAAGAAATTCCAGATTCTAAATAGCTTTATTTAACATGCACAGAGTTGAAATGGCTCTGTCCTAGGGCAGTCTTCCACATCCAGGTCTCATACTTATGGATCCTTTTTCCTCCTTAAAATACTTTCCAGTCATGGGGCACCTGGGTGGCTCAGTAGGTTAAGCATCCGGCTTTAGTTCAGGTCATGATCTCACAGTTCATGATCTTGTGGTTCATGAGTTCGAGCCCCGTGTAGGGCTCTGTGATGACAGCTCAGAGCCTGGAGCCTGCTTTGAATTCTGTGTCTCCCTCTCCCTGCCCCTCCTGTGCTCGCGCTCTGTCTCTCTCCCTCAAAAATAAATAAACATGAAAAAAAAATAAAAAAGTAAAATAAAATACCTTCCAGTCATAAATTCTAGTTTCCAACCGGGGAAGGGATAAGATTTTTCAAGTGATTAGGACAAGGAAGTGGCTGGGAAGACTGGGGAGAGAAGGGTCATACAAAGCCATGAAATAAACTTATTTTAAATGCTGAGAAAGACGGAGGAAAGTGTTAAATTTCATCTAAAATTCTGTTTATTAATCAGTATTTCAAGTTTTTCTTCCCTTGAAGAATAATTGATCAATATTTCTACTTCAATTCATTGTTCACTCAAATTTATAGCAGTGACATGTCTCACTTTGGGTTTCAGGTAGATAATAATGAGAAAGGAAATTTCATTTTCTATTAGGCCCTCTATTGGTAGTTGCCCTTACTACATCATCTTCAAAGAAAACCCAAAATATCTTTAGCTTTTGAAAAACAGGCACCATAACAGGGTCCTACATTAATTCATGAATTTATCCAAATTCATTTTACCCTGTTGATACTGTTAACTACAATTCTTAGGACGAATAACTTCTCTGTACTATTGCAAAACCATCTTCATAATTCACAGGGCCCCACACAAAATGAAAATGTGGGGTGCCTTGTTCCTAAGCTGTTAAGAATTTCAGGGCACCTGGCTGCCTCAGTGCGGGAGCACGTGACTCTTGATCTTAGGGTTGTAAATTCGAGCCCCATGTTAGGTGTAGAGATTTTTTAAAAATAAAATCTTAAAAAAACTTTTTTTTCAAGACCTCACCAACACAGCATTGAAGCAAACACTGGCCCTTCTAAGCATAGAACACTGTGTAAATGCATAGCATGGACATCCGCGAAGCTGGCCCGGGTTATTTGGTAAAGAAATAATTCCCTCCATTTGGCTTCAGACTAACCCTCTAACACTTTGAGACTATCTCCTTAGTTCCTGTACACCAGGATTTGGTGAACATAATTCCTATCTACATGCATCCTACATGTGTTTATCTATCGGTAGCTTAGTTTATCTATAGGTAGCTTATCTCCATTGTTTTCGTGTTTACAAGCCAAAGAATCTCTTTCCTGTTCAGGCTACTTGATCCCTGTGATGATTTTCTTTTTCAGCCCCTCACCTCTTCTAGCTTCCTTTGTCTTTTCTTGCTTGTTTTTCATGGTGGTGGTGGTGGTGGTAGTTTTAGTGTAACACCCAGAACTGCATCCTTAATTTAGATTTAACGCTGAGTAAGAATAAAATAATGATTTTTAAACTTAATTCTATACTCATCCTAATGATTTATTTTATATTACTGGCCTCTTTTTTTGGGGGGGGG